ATAATAGCAATTCTGTTAGCTAGTCTTCAGGATTTATTAAGATTTCACCAGTTGTCCCATTATGTCATGCCCTTCATAGCAAAAGAAAGCCCCACATCTCATGTTGTATTCAGTTGTTATGTCTCTCCTGTTCTTTAATCTGGAACCATTTTGTAATATTTCTTTGTGTCTTAAAGGGTACATGCTGTTTAGAAACCTGACCTTTTTTTTTTAAATAGTACATGTGAAACATTTTTTTTTATATTAACAGCATAGTGATGTAATCAGGGCTCTAGAGCCAGACTACCTAGTTTCAAATTCTGATTTCACTACCTACTACCTGAGTTCTCTTGAACAGCCTTTCTTATCTGTAAAGTAGGGATAGTGCTACTGCCTCATGAGGTTGTGAGAATTAAGTGAATGCATATGTGTTCATTACTGAGTACAGTACCTGGCACAGAGGAAGCCCTCAGTAATGCTAGCTATAGTTCATGATCCCTCCGAGACATTTGGAGACATCTTGGCTATAGCTGTTGTGGTGCCGTTCTCGCTTCCTCTCCTCTCCACCCTTCTTTTCTTTACATCTAGGTTCCAGAGAATAAACCAAGTTTAGCAGACTATACTATGGGTTGGGTTGGGAAATACACCCTGAAAGAGCAACTCCCATATGTTAGTTCATGAGCTCAGATTATTGGCAGTTTTCACTAACCTAAGAAACAACAGTGAAGTTATTTTTTATAAGAGCTAAATGTATTCAAGTGCTGTTTTATGAAATTACAGAGTTCTTTCACTTTTGATGTTAAAATGTGCTTTTGTAAAAGCATGTTTATTGTAGATGATTGTTATGTCATTGTATTTTGATTTATTTGTTTGTTTATTTATTTGGCAGTACTGGGGCTTGAACTCAGGGCTTCACACTTGCTAGGCAGGCACTCTACCATTTGAGCCACTCCGGCAGCCCTTTTTTGTGTTGGGTATTTTCGAGATTAGGTCTCTCAAACTATTTGCCCCAGCTGGCTTCAAACTGCGATACTCCTCATCTCTGCCTCCTGAGTATCTAGAATTATAGGCTTGAGCCACAGATGCACAGCTATATTTTAATATATTTAATATGCAATAACTTTTAAAAAGAAACAACCTATTAATTCCCCAAAAGTTTTCAGAAATTTTGCTGGTTCATGAAAGCCAAGAGTCTGAGAATTACTGTCCTAATGATAAATGCTTTTTTATCTAGGAATTCATTTATTTAGCCATTAATTGGACATTTATTGACTACCTCTTGAAGGTCAGCGACATACTAAATGTTCTATACATGTCATTTCAGGGTTGTTAACCCTGTGAGCTTTGTGCACAATTGCCCTTTTGCTAGTGAGGAAGTAGAATCTCAAAGAGGTGATGTAGTCCACCCAGGGTTATACAGCTGTGAGCAGCATGATGCACTTAGAGCCCATCTCTTCCTGATTACAGAATCCTTTGTGCTCCTTTTCTGTTTAGGGGTTCACAATCTGTGTGCTTGGGACCTGTGGAATTTTAGCATAGAATCCATAAATCCATAAGCTCTAGGTATCTTTTCAATCAAGGACGCTGAAGGTAAGATTAGGTTGTTGAGGGTTTTCTTAAAAAAAAATTATGGGGGCTGAGGATGTAGCTCAGTTGCAAAATAAAAATTGTTAAGTGACCTTGTAGTATAAAATGTTGAAAATGTTTCTCCATGCTACAAACAATAATCTTTTGGACCATAGGTGGGAGTTCTTATTTCTGGTGACTTATTTTTTTCCAATACTGGGGTTTGAACTTGGGTGCTCTGCCACTTTAGCCACATCACCAGCCCATGACTCTTAATTAGAAATGAAACTATCACCTTGCTTGAATAAGTGTGATTCTTCAACCTTTGGTTCCACCTGTAGGCTACTTTCCAGGGGGAAAAATGTGCTGCTGTGTGAAATTAGCAACCACCCAAGAAACACGTGAAGAATACCTGAATAGGAATAGAAAATAAGCTGGCATTTAGCAACTTACTACTAATGTGAGGTTAAAAGTTGAACACCAAGTCATGAGTTGCTGAAGCAGACAAATTGCAGCTGTGGAGCCATGGGACTCTATGTCTAGTACAGTGTTTCTGAACTGGCTACATATCATAATCTTCTGTGGAGCTTTTATAAAATACATTCCTGTACCCCACTGAGCTCTAGCTGTGAGATTCTTTGAGGCACCTACATGTATTTGCAGTTGAAAAGCGCCCCCTGGATCCTGAGGCCCATCTTACCCTTGGCTGTTGCTGGATAATTGGAAGCCACACCAGCCTTTGTCCTAAGCACTTTATAAAGTTACAGCTTAAACTTCTAATCAGGGGTATTGGAGGTGACAAATGAAGCAAGCCTTGAGGTCATCAGAGTTCCCATGGCATGTTTTTTTTCTGGTGCTGGTGATTGAAACCAGGGCCTTGTATATCCTACACAAGCACTGAACCACTGAGTTGCATCCCCAGGGCATTTTTAATCCCTTTTTTTCCTTAATTGTTCCCTGAAATTATGAATTTTCTCTCAGAAGCCCATTTCTATAAACTGATGCCATGCTTTCAATTCCCTTGTTCTAAATGATAGTTGCAGAAAAGTAATGGCAATTTAATCAGCCACAGATGGACTGTATGCCTTTCTGTATTCTGTACACATTCTGCTAATGGCATAGAACAACAACAGATGGGGAGCTTCTCTGGGAGCTACCCCAATTCCTTACTGTGGCCCATGAAACCAATGTACCATGGCTCCTACCTCACTTTCCCACCAGCTTCTTCCTCCCTAGCTCAGTTTCAGATACACCTGTCTTCTTCAGGTTTCTTGAGTATGCCAACCTTGCTTCTATGTACTACTTTTCATGGTGGACTCCCTCTACTTACTTGGGTCTAAGCTTAAATGTTGACTCTGCAGAAAGAGTTTCCTTTATCAATCTGTGTCATATTGCCTATGTTATTTTCATCATAGCATTTATCACTATCTGAAAGATTTTACTTATCTGCTTATTGTTTTTCTCTTCCACTGTAATGTCAGCTCCATGAGAGCAGATACCTGTCTGACTTGTTGCCCTTTGGTCCCCCAGCATTTGGAACAATGCCTGACTTTGCAATAGGTGCTCACTAAGGGTTAAAAGAGTAAATGCTGTGGGCTACAGCCCTCCCATGGGCAGGGCTGAGCTGAGCTTGTGCAGATTTTGCTTGATGCCGGTAGCTTAGAACTGTGGAGGTTTTCTGGAGCAAAGCTAAATGCCCTTGAGCCTGATGATTTTTCTAAATCTTTTATACTACAACACTCCCACGGAGCTTCTGCTTTCCCCAAGAGTTGTAGGTTAGAATGACAACAGTTATTTGGAAATATATGTCCAAAAAGCTCAATTAGAGGGTAAATGATCCCTTTGGATTAGAGTTAATTTCATAGTCTTTCAAACAGTGGGATTTTTTGTCTGCTGGGTAAGAGCTGTATCCCAAGACATTGGGCAGTAAAAGACATCTCAAATTTAGAGGAATTTAGCCCTGTTTGTCTCTCCTGTCTCTCCCTTTGCTATAGAAATACAGTAGTCTGAGTACAGACAGACTTGTTTGTGGCTGTTGACTCCCGGAGACATAATTGGATCCTTTCTGGCCAGTGTAATACTGTGTGCTTTACAAAGCTCCTAAAAGCTTCAGGACCCTCCTGAGGGGAGAGAGGTCTTTCCAGTGGACTCCTTTGAGAATCTGATGACAGTAATAGACCTTCTCAAAAAGATGTACAAGCAACCATGCATACAGTTTTGTATATAATTTCGAGGGGTTAAAGGACTTACTGAATGCCCTTGGTGGACCCTAAAATTCTGTTTGGGGATTTAAAATGGTTGTTTATCCATCACAGCTGGGTCATACCTCTTCCATGGCTATTTCTTTCTGACTTGGTCTCCTGTCTTCTGTGCCCTCTCATTTTTATAATAATCTGCTGGACCCTCTCAGGCCCAGAAGAGGAGATATTCTCCAGGAGTCCAGGTACTTGATTCTTGTCCCACCATGTCCATTCTCATGTGTCCATCGAACATTTGTTACTGCGTAAAGTCCATGTGGCTGTTGTCTCAGGAGTCCCAGTCTCTGGTTTTGACTGCATCTCCACCTTGCATGTTGACTGTTAGGACAATGGGGAGCTCGCCTGAGGAGTGGCATGCCTTGTGTTACCCTCCCCTTTCATCACCCTGCCTCTCTACACTGCCTTGGCACTAGGCTCCCTCTGGAAAGGTTAGTTCATCAGTTCTAAGGAAAAATTTGCTCCTACCACTCTGTTGGAGCAAGATGGTCTGGTGAGTAGGTAATAGGGAAACCGAGGATTTCCTCCCTGTTGGAGAATTTTACTCTCTTATTATTATCATTTTTGGGAGAAATTATGTGTGTTGGGCTGGCAAGTCTTGACTAAGAACAGTCATTGTGGCTGGGTAAACCCATTCAGTGGTCCATTTGCGGAGGGCTTCTTAGTCCTAATCGTTAACATGTGCTGGTAGGATTTTAGAGTTTGAAAGGCTCTATCTTGAATGGAAAGATTCCTCTGCCCAAACAGGTAGTTTTACACTTCACCTGCGGCAAAGGGATAGAGTTCAAGTGGAGACCTGGAAAGAAGGATAATAAATGATTTTCCCCCCAAGAAACAGTTGGGGAGATAAGTATATAGCCATAAAAAGGAACCCCCTAGTATTGGAAAGTTTGTAAGTGCCAAATGGTGATCACTGGGAGGAGTCGAGTCAAACTCTAGAATCTCACAAGGCCATTTCAGGCCCACCTCAGATCTAGAGCAAGGAGAATAAAGGCAGATACGGAGTTCAGTGGCTTCCTGGGGCATATCCCTTGACCGGCCATCTGTTTGTGGATGCTTAGGGGTTACTAATGATGAGAATGGTCATCTGTTCTGCTGGAGGGGCTTAGCTTATAATATGCAAGATTTCTGTCACTATTTGTACAGACATTCCTAACAGCTCTTCCTCACTGTTTCTGCATTTTCCTCCCTGTGTTCCAGCGGGTATTCCCCTACATCTCGGCCATGGTGAACAATGGCTCCCTCAGCTATGATCATGAACGGGATGGGCGGCCCACAGAGCTGGGGGGCTGCACAGCCATTGTCCGCAATCTCCATTATGACACCTTCCTTGTGATTCGCTATGTGAAGAGGCATCTGACGGTGAGTCCCTGACCAGGACCAGTTGGCAATGTGAGCTGTCTCACTACTGCTTCTGTAGCCTGTCCCTGACTTATCTGTTCTTTTTATTTTAGATAATGATGGATATTGATGGTAAGCATGAGTGGAGGGACTGCATTGAGGTGCCTGGGGTCCGTCTGCCGCGGGGCTACTACTTTGGCACCTCCTCCATCACTGGGGATCTCTCAGGTACTGCTGAGTGCAGTCTATTTGCTACAACTGAGGCGTCTTCTCAATACCTAGGCCTTAGTGAGGTCCTTCAGAAGGGAGAGCCAGATGAGCAGAGCTCTGAGAAGCAAATGTCCTAAGAATGCTGCTTACTCATGTCCGGATCCTGTAAATGCTTCAGGCCTAGGCTCTCCTAGTACAGTTGCAGCCTGGACTTAACCAAAGCAGTGTTTGCCTCTTAATCCAGGCAGCTCTTCCAGTCTGTGTTTTGAGTTCCTTGCTTTCCTATTTCTGCTGCACCTTTCTGCTTCTCTCCACCTACTAATGTGCTCAGCTACCTTTCTCTTAACAAAGCTGCTCCGTTCTCCTCCATTCCTCTTGTTACTAACCCCCAATCCGCCCTTTTTGCTCAGACTTTTGAATGTATCATGTATACAATTGGGTTTATTTCCTAGCCATCCACCTCGCACACTGTACTGGGACCTATATTTCTACCTTGCCATTAATATTACTCGTGTAAAAATAACTTCTATTTTCTTGCTGTGGATAGTGTTCTGTTCTTGGCCTCACTCCTTGCCTGTCTTCACCTCATTTAATCAATCACTCTGACACTCTTTTCATCAACAGTACCTGACTCCTCCGCTTTTCTGTCTCCTCTGATTTCTCTTCCTTCTTGTGCCCAATTCATAGCTTCCTTTATATATGGTTGTTTTCTCCCTTAATGCTTTTGGGAAGAGATAAGGAATCAAACTTTTGGTTCTTTTGATTATATAATTTATTATGGATAAAGCTTAGTTTTGAAATAGAACTTTCTTATGGCAAAATGGAAAGGCAGGGACCAATCTGGAACAAGCAGCAGCTACAGAGATCCAGTCATCATTGTTAACATCTTTCAGATCTTCCTATTTTAAGAGATGCTGTAAATCTGGATTTAAAAAAAAATTATTATTTTGTGGTACTGGGGCTCTAACTCAGGGCTTTGCTCTTGCCAGGCAGGTGCTCCCCCACTTGAGCCACTCCCCCAGTCCTTTTTTGTATTAGGTATTTTCAAGATAGGGTCTCTCCAACTGTTTGCCCAGGCTGGCTTTGAGCTGTGATACCCCTGGTCTCTGCCTCCTAAGCAACTAGAATTACCCGCACCCAGCCCTGAATTTTTAAAATGAAATCTTGTGGGACCTTTTTTTATTTAAACCCCTAGCATCTAATTTTTTTAAGCAACTTTATAGAGAAATACGTAGTTGAAGAATTTAATAAATATTTGTATCTCTGGTAGAATGTTCCCATCCCTTACCAGAAGTTCTGTTTAGCTCTTTACAGTATTTCTGCCCTGCCCTGGCCCCAGGCAACTGTTGGTCTGCCTTCTGTCACTTACAGAAACTTGTTTTGGAAGGTAGGGTCTGAATACTGTGCAGGCCAAAATCTGTGGGACAGATCTATCCTCAGCATAGAGTGAGGAGACAAAGGCTTGAGATCTTTGCCTCATAATCTTGTTAGACTACACATTTTCCTTAGAGTTTACAGGTTTCTAGGTTAATCTCTGTATATAATTTTATTTCTTTCTTTTTTTTTTTTTTTTTTTTGATTGGGGAGTCTGGAAGGGGGAGACAAGTCTTGTTATATAGGCCAGGTTGGCCTCAAACTCACAATTTTACCTCAGCCCCACCATGGTTGGCTCTAATTTTCAATGGGAAATGTTCTAAACTGTCAGAAATGGCAGGGGAGA